TCCAAAATGTCAGCAACAGTTGTCTGGGCAGAGGAATTATGGCTAGTCGTCTTTTTTGTTTCCCTGTTTCCCCTCAGTTTTCTATAATAATGGCAAATATTGAGCTCATAGTATGACTAGATCCTGCTCTAAGAACTTTCCACAACTCTTCTAGTTCCCACAGTGAGCCTAGGTGCTGTGTTATTACCATTTACAGATGAAGAAAGCAAGCGCAGAGGGCGGAGTCACATGTCCCAGTTCACATGTGTACAGACCTGGGGAAGCGAGACAGGATCCAGGCTGCCTGCTTTCACAGCCTGCACTCTTAATCACTACCCAGTGGTGTCCCTTGTTATTTTTTTCATAATTGAGAAAATACTAATTTTTTTAAATGGCAGTCAGGTAAGAAAAGTAGTGCCTTTATTTGCTAGGATATTAGAGATGAAAGGATTCACAGCTGCAACGCCAGTGGCTGTCTAAGAAGTTTGTTGGAGACCAGACTTAGCTGGCAACTTCATGGTGTTGGAATATGTTTAACACCTGTTTCTGTACAACTTGTTTTTCTCCAGGCGAGAGTGCTTCTCTGTGCTGGGGTGTCATGGAAGGACTGCTGACAAGATGGAGAGCGTTGCCCACCCTGGTCGCCTGCAGTCGCCAGCTCTCCGGGTGTGTTCCCTGCAGCCTTCACCACTGTGCTCCAGGGAGAGGGAAGCGCTTGTTGCTGTCCCGCATGTTCCAGCCGCAGAACCTGCGGGAAGACCAGGTGCTGTCCCAGGAGGGCAGATCTGGGGACCTGACCTGTAAGAGCCAGCGCCTGATGCTTCAGGTGGGCCTGATACACCCGGCGAGCCCCGGCTGTTACCACCTTCTGCCTTATACCGTGCGTGCCATGGAGAAGCTGGTGCGGGTGATAGACCAGGAGATGCAGGCCATCGGGGGGCAGAAGGTCAACATGCCCAGCCTCAGCTCAGCAGAACTCTGGCGAGCCACCAACCGGTGGGACCTGATGGGCAAGGAGCTGCTAAGACTTAGAGACAGACATGACAAGGAATACTGTTTAGGACCAACTCATGAGGAAGCCGTCACAGCTCTGGTTGCCTCCCAGAAGACACTGTCCTACAAACAGCTTCCTTTCCTGCTGTACCAGGTGACAAGGAAGTTTCGGGATGAGCCCAGGCCCCGGTTCGGTCTTCTCCGTGGCCGAGAGTTTTACATGAAGGACATGTACACCTTCGACTCCTCCACAGAGGCTGCCCAGCAGACCTACAGCCTGGTGTGTGGTGCCTACCGCAGCCTGTTTAACAGGCTGGGGCTGCCATTTGTCAAGGTCCAGGCCGACGTGGGCAGCATTGGGGGCACGATGTCTCATGAGTTCCAGCTACCGGTGGATGTCGGCGAGGACCGGCTTGCAGTCTGTCCCGGCTGCAACTTCTCGGCCAACATGGAGACACTAGGCTTGTCACAGATGAACTGCCCTGTGTGCCAGGGACCGCTGACTGAAACCAGAGGCATTGAGGTAGGGCACACGTTTTACCTGGGCACCAAGTACTCCTCCATTTTCAATGCCCGGTTTGCCAATGTCCATGGCAAACCATCCCTGGCCGAAATGGGGTGCTATGGCTTAGGTGTGACGCGGATCTTGGCTGCTGCCATTGAAGTACTCTCTACAGAGGACTGCATTCGCTGGCCTGGCCTCCTGGCCCCTTACCAAGTCTGCCTCATCCCCCCTAAGAGGGGCAGCAAGGAGATGGCGGCCACGGAGCTCATGGGGAGCCTGCACGACCACATTGCTGAGGCAGTGCCGCAGCTTCAGGGTGAAGTCCTGCTGGATGACAGGACTCATCTGACCATTGGAAACAGACTGAAAGACGCCAACAAGCTTGGCTACCCCTTTGTGATAATCGCTGGCAAGAGGGCTCTGGAGGATCCTTCATATCTTGAGGTTTGGTGCCAGAATACTGGTGAGATGGTCTTTCTCAACAAAGAAGGGGTTGTAGAATTACTGAGCACAGTGCAGGTTGTCTAAATGCCCCTGTCTTACGCTGGGTTCTCTAGAGAAGCAAAACCAGTGAAGCATCTATATATATATATATATAGAGAGAGAGAGAGAGAGAGAGATGTATCAAGGAAATGGCTCATACAGTTGTAGAGGCTGGAAAGTCCCAAGTCCATGGATCAGGCTGGAGGCTTCTCCTGACTCACATAGCTGTAGGGGCTGGTGAACCCAAGATTGGCAGGTCAGACAACAGGCCTCTGGCTCACTCGCTGCCTAGGCCAATGAATCCCAAGATGGGTAGGTAAGCTGGCAGGCTGATGAATCCCAAGATCAGCAGGTAAGCTGCTAGCTCAAGTCCCAAGAACTGGAGGTCAGATGAACAGGAGCCAGTGCAGAATCCAGAGCGAGCAAAAGCCCACAAGCCTTACCAGAAAGTCCACCTATATTGGATGCAGGCCACACCCCCAAGGAAACTCCCTTTTAACTGATTGGCTACTCACAGCAGATCCTATGATGGAGGTGATCACATTATATCAGATCTCATCATGGAGGTGATTACATCATTATGCGGCTGCCAAGCTACATCATAACTGTCAAACCGCTGAGAATTATGGCCCAGCCAAGTTGTCACACAGTCCTACCCCTGCCCGGATCCCGCATCCTCGGTGCTGTCTCTAAGGCTGCATTTGCCTATAATCCTATCCTGGGCTGGTCTCTCCAGAAACAGGGCAGCTCATGGAAAGTAAGACTGTGTTTCTAGAACCTATTGCTGTTGAGTCAATTCTGACTCATAGCAACCCCATGTGTGTCAGAGTAAAACTGTGCTCCGTAAAGTTTTCAGTGGCAGATTGTTTGGAAGTAGATTGCCAGACCTTTCTCCTGAGGCACTTCTAGATGGACTCTAATAGTCAACCTTTCGGTTAATAGCCAGATGTTTAACTGTTTGCACCACCCAGGGACTCCTCGAGACCATGTTAGGGAAGCCAGTTTTTATCCCAATCATTTGTTCAAATTGTTTGTATTTTAAGTTATTAACTTGATCAGTTTGTCTGGACTGGCCATGCCACCACATACCATTCCTCTTATATTCCATCGGTGGAAGCTTCTATTAGGCAGGCAAGAAAGAAACCCGGGTTCTAGTTTTGTCCCTGGGGTGAGTCACTATCCTCAGCTGAGTTTCCCTGCTGGTTCTGACAGTCTCAGACCACAGGCCTCTTGCTGCATTAGGCCCAGAGAGCAGGCCCCTCAGCCCTCCTCCACTGAGCAGTTGGGCTGAGGGTGTGGGGAAAAGACTCAGGAAATCTGACTTTGCCAACAACTCACTGGTGACTTGGGCATGTCCCTTGCTCTTCGGGGGCCTCGGTTTCCCATCTGTAGCATCAGAAAATGGTACTAGATGTGTCAAGTCCCAACAGCTGTCCCTGGGTGGTTCCATGAGAGGTTTGTGACAGGCAGAGCCAGTTCCTCTGACCCTCCACAGTCTAAGCTAACCGGAAAGTTGATGTACTTAGCTGATGGCTCAAGCCAAAAACAACTCCAGAGACCTGGCCCTATTGAGGCAGCTTAAGCTCTGAGATCTTGTTGTATTGATTGAATAAAGTCAAACTGTTGAAATGTGCTTTGCATGTTAATTTGAAACAAAGGTCTTGCTATTTTAACAGTGCAGTGGCTTCCTGTCTTGAGCCTCTCCTTTCTTTTTGTACTGTTTCTACACCCAACTCAACAACCAAAACAAAACATTGGGTGGTTGGAAAAATGTGTTTTAAACCATTGCTTCCCACAAATATCAGGGACAGCAGGTGTCAACCACCATGGTGGCCTTGTCCTAGGAACAGAATTGGATCTTAGAGCCATTTGCAGGGGGTGAATATTCAGAGATGGTCTCTGCCAGCATTCTGTGAAAACTGGGAGTGAATTTGAGCTTCCACAGAGTGTCCACCTGTGTTCGTTGCTCCTGTTCATTGGATCGGGAGCATAATCAGGTGCCCTCTCCTTGGCCCCCTAGGGTCTCTACATGTCCAAATCTAACAAGAATCTGTAGGCCAAGTTCAAAGCCACCACCTCTTCAAAACATTCGTGGCAGCTGTTGGAAGTGGTTTTTCCCTCTGCATCCCTGGGCACTTTGCCTTGTGGCACTGATCACATTCCTTCTTGTTTTGCAGCAGCTCATTGTATGGCTCAGCCTCTTCTAGTTGGTGGTGAGCTCCCTGAGGCCGGGGTCCTGAGCCCATTCCTAGTGCACTGCAGTTCTTGTTTTGGCCCGTTGTGCCACCTGCTAACTAGCTTTCTGGCAGCTTGTTTCTGCTAGAGTAACTCCGCCCCCAAACACACCAATTAACGTTTATGCCAAACCCTAATGACTCCCAAGTTTCTGTTGGAATTCTTCAGATTTTCAGCTCAGGATATGTGGATCCTGAGAGTAGACTTGGAAAGGCTGGATTGTAACGCAAGGGATCTTACCCTTGGCTGCACGTTGGAATCACCTGGGTCCCACCCAGAGGTTCTGATTAAGGTCTGGATGTGGCAGACCCCATGTTGTTAAAGCTCCCCAGGTGATTCTAATGTGCAATCAAGGTGAATTGAGAGTTCCTGGCTGGCCTAAGGGTAGCCACCACCTCTGAGTTCACTTTGTGGTTTGGCAGTTCTTTGAGTAATTTCTGTCCTGCATTATCAGACTGCCATGAGCTCTCTGATTTTATTGGTCTGCTCATTGTTTATTTGTTGAGGGCCTGCCATGTCCCACTAGGCTATGAGTTTCCAGACCTTACAGCTCTGTAAGGTAGATGCTATTATTCCTGTTTGACAGATGAGGAGACCTGAGGCTCAGTTTAAGCAGCTTACTCAAGGACGCACAGCTATTAAGTGTCAGAGCTAGAATCTGAGTATTGGCCCCAAACTATGCCCTTCCTGCTACACTGCATGGCCTCTGCCTCAGCGAAGTGATCTCAATAAGTAAAACAATTATTTATGTCTGTTTAATCAGTTTGGCCAGATGTATATGAGAAGTTGGAGTTCATGCAAATGGGTGCCTTAGATTTTTTTGTTTTTGTTTTTTAAATTTGCATTCCATAAGCTTACTTATTTATGGAAGGCCAGCCTAATGTAAGCACTTTTAAAAACCAAATTCCAAGAAGAGAGAACCAATTAATTTTAAAGTCTTCATAAATGCGTGAGTTATAGAATAATTCGAGGACGATACAAGATCGTGGCACTTTAAAACAGAAGAAGAACCTGGGACCTGCCTGTCCAGCCGTCTTTCCATAGGTAGAAAACAGGTCTGAAGAGGGAATTAGCCTGCCACGTACCATCTGACTGACGAAACTCCTGATTCAGGCCAGGTGCTATGTCCCCTCAGGCTACCTCTGGTCAATCTTGTTGCGTTAGAAAACTGGCTGGATCACAGAAGCCTTGTAGGTTTGCTAAAACAGGTACCCATCATGTTTATTTTACAACAGGGAGACGATCCAGGGAGCACGATAATTTGCCCAAGGTCACGCTGAAACTATAGCCTAGGTGTCCTGGTCACTAAGCCAGTGTTTCTTCTAGTAGCCAGAGGCAGCATGATTTAGTGAAAAGATCAGAACCTGGAAGACGCACAATCCTAGATCCACCACCTTCCAGGAATGTCACATCGGGCCAATTACTTGCCCTTTGTGCATCTCAGATTCTTCATCTGTAAGATGCCGTGATAATGCTGCTCACCTCATAGGGTTGTTTGGGGGTTGAATGAGCTCACGTAAATGAAATGCATCGCCCTTAGTATGCTCTCAAAAAGACACTTCCCTTAGACCATATGACTTAGGAAGTCACTCGATTGGGAGCCCAGGTTCTGCTATTATAGATCTGGGACTTGTTTTCTTGATATGATGCTTTACAATCTTCCTGGGGAGTGCCACCAGCAAGAATTAGGTCACGCCTACAGAATGGTTCCATCTCCTTAGAGGAAAGATGGAAATATTCAAACTGTGTACCTTGCTGTCTCATTACTGAACTTACCAGTTTTACCTCTTGCCATAAATTGATGAAATGGAGATGCTGGCAAAATAACAGGTACAGGCTGTATTATCATTGCTCATTCCTTGGAGAGATCAAGAAGCAACTGGCTGAGAAATATTTAGCAGAATTAATACTTGAGGACAAAGGCTGGTGCATAACAAAACCATCCTGTAAATCAAGCCTAGAATGTGAATCAAGGGCTGCATTAATAATTTGTGTTTTAATGGAGAAACACCTGCTGGGCTATCAATAAAGGAGCTTTGCAGAAATCTGTTGAAATTATCATTTCCTTAACTACTTATGTACCAGGCCTCTGCAGATTTCCCCCCACCCATTTGTGCACCAGGATGTCTGTATGATTTTAGAATGGAATTATGCACCCAAGGGCAAGTAAGGTTTTGTGTTGGAGTTAGGAAAAGGATTTTTAAAAGCTTTCTTATAATGGGGAAAATAGTTTTATGATGCTATTAGGGAATATTTGAAAAAAAAAATCAAAGTACTTCACTTAATTTTAAATAATAACAGTGACCCAGACTGGAGACCTTGGAGTCAGACTTCCCAGGGCAGTTAATAGTTCGTGAGCTTGTGTATGATACTTCTTCATACTCTGCACTTCAGATTCCTCATCCGTAAAATGGGGAGAATGGTGCCTGGCTCACAGCAGGTGCTTGGTAAGTGGCAAAAAACCAAACTCATTGCCGTAGAGTCGATTCTGACTTATAGCGGCCATGTAGGATAGAGTAGAACTGCCCTATAGGGTTTCCAGGGAGTGGCTGGGGGATTTGAACTGCCGACCTTTTGATTAGCCGCTGAGCTCTTAACCACTGTGCCACCAGGGCTCCAGTGATAAGTGGCAACTGCCCTTATATTAGGTCATTTGGCCCTTTGCTCATCGTAAGTGAGTGGGTGGTGTGCTGTGGCCCAGCAGGATGGGGTGACACCTTTAGGCCCCCCGTTCAGGCACCTTCCTAGTGTAGTGTTGGTGGCCATTTCTGTCAAGCCAGAGGCTCTAAAGGCTGCTAATGAGCTTCCAT